GCGAGCAGCGAATGCAAGATCCTGCAGGGCCTAAACGGGTCGAGAGGATCGTCATTATAAGCTACGAGCTCTGTCGCTAAGGCAGCAACCCTGCACAGCTTCTACTGGGGATATGCTGTCCGATCAGCAGCCCCTGGACTCTGTATCTCATGGTCATGAGGATAGGAATTTTTTTTCATCAGCATATTAGACACTCGACGGGTCTCATCGGAGGCTCCAGTCATAGTAGTGGGTAATATTGATGGCCATTACAAGAAATCAATAATCGGGTCAATAATACGTCGCCTGCTCTCGTCCGATGCTGCCACGTCGGAGACCGGTATCGTAGGACATGTTCTTCTGGTCACTGGCAGCTCGTTATTATTCTTAGCTCACCATTAGTTGGCGGACACAGCCAGCAGCCAGCCAACGAACTATTCCCTCGGAACTCCGTAGTCGCCTTTCTCAAGGTGGAGAAGAGCGGTGGGTGCGCCGGGCGGGCCACCATTGGAAAAGAACGGCTTGACCGTCTTGGGCGCGCAGCTAGGGCCAAGGCTAGGCTCAGAGCGCGATAGTCGATATCGACGATTTAAGGCTTCGGGACGATCTGGAGCGGCGTCTGGTTGCGGCCGTCGTTCCGGCGGCGGCGAGCAGGCCTTGTCAGAGAGAGTTGCTGTCGGGTTCTTAGTCATATCAGGCTATCAGCACCCGGTCCAGAACACGAAAATCCTCGAGCGCTCGTCGTGGTTCGTACTCACCCAGAGAACCATGGCCCCGCTCTCCAATAATAATAATCAGGGCGGCCGAACGGTGAGCTGCAAGCGCGTCAATGGTGGGATGCAGGCAGGCGGGCGTGGAGAGCAAGAGAACTGGCAAGGGCACGGCGCCATCCGATTCCGAGCCTGGCGCGGTGGAGCAGGCCGGGATGCGCGCCTGCAAAGAAGGGAGACCAGTGGCTCACAGCAGACCACGAATGCCGCCTGTTCGAATGATCGGTGAAGCCCGTCCGGCAACGACCTGTCAAGACGCGTGCTGGCTGTTGGGCGCCTCAGCCTAGGCGGCTTGCGGGAAAGCCAGGCCGCTGACATGAATGATGACCGCCAGCGCGCCCACCCACCTTTCCACGTCTTGCTCATGCCTTAGCCTCCTGTCTGGACTCGGGATTCTGGACTCTGGCCTCTGGAGTGCCCCAGAATCGCACCACAAAGACGGTCACCGCAGTCCCTGGCCCAAGCTGCCCGTTGCGTGCCATTGGTCCCGCGACCATCAATCAACATCTACAACTGGCCGCTGCCAAATCACCACTGCCTCGTACTGAGTAACCTGGATGGATGTGGATGCGCAACCCTGGATGGTGGCCTGCGGAGGATCACCGGTTGACCGATTGAACGTCGCCTTCTGTCTAGAGAAATGCTCGAGTCGATCTTACGGGGCCCGGGGCCAGGAGAGCCTGACCGGTTGGATACCCTTGTCTCACCGACGATGGCTTCTCCGGTCCCGTTGCGAACGAGCCTTGAGGACAGGGTTGCTGCAGCCTGTTAAGAATACGGAGTAGAAGAAATTTGAAATCGTCCTCTTTGCCAGATGGCTGTCCGGAGAACGGAGTTCTCTTTCGTCCCTCGAGTCAAGGTAGAGAGACGAGTGCGACGCTGAGCGTGCGCTCTAATTTTACTGTCCAGTAGCAGGTACCTGGTCACGATTACTATGGTACCGAAGGATAACGTGAGTGTGTCTGTAATACAGAAAATCGCAGATGCACTGGCCATCTGCACTATATGCATATGGCAAGTACGTGGCGAACTTGGCAGCAGGACGACCGTCGTATACAGGAAGCCCTATATCGACTATTATAAACAATACAGAAAGGAAGCCTACCTGGAGAGAAAAAAAGATTACTCCGCACAGGAAGTAAGTGGAACCATGGGCCAAGATCCCTGGCATACTCGTCTAGGCGGTTTTTTTTCTCGAGCGAAGCGTTGAGACCTGTTAGTACTCCGTATTCCTGGAACTGGGCTGAGCTCTGGAAAATCCTCACCGCTATTGTGAATTACCTAACATGCCCCCATTCCGTGACTTTCCGTCCTTGTGTAACCCATACCTACGGGCTAGAGAGCCCCTTGCTTCCCTGTCGAATCCGTGGTTGATCTTCCTGGCAATCTGCGACGGTGAGCAATCGTAGCAATTCAGCGTGCACGGTAGATGTTGCCTTTTTCCCGACCGTACTATGGTTCTTTCGTGGGACGCGGCGAATTTGCCTTAAATTTCCTTCCCCCCCCCCCAGTATGAATACACCAGCAGCGAAAAGCCATCTGAAGAAAAGAAATACTCCGTAGACGAGGGACTGTTCTCCAATTGTTATTTGTCCATCACTTATGATCCATGGAACCTTCAAAGTCCGTCAGCCTGGCGGCCGCCAAGTGGAGCTCTGGAGCGGGTGCCACGAGCTGCTCCTAGGGTATCGGAAAGCTTCCAAGGTTACCATGGATGATAATGGAAGGCTGTTTGTCATCCCGTTCTGAACCTACGTAAGCTTCGCGGCGGCCGGTGGGACTGCTGGGGATGCGGCGAAAACCCGATGCTAGTCCAAAGAATGGAGACAAGTCATAGAGATTAATCTCTCGAATTCAACGACCGGGGTTCTATGAGTACGGAGTATCTTCCTGTCATCCGGGCAGCCACTTGTTGTAGATGAACAAGGATTTTGTAGTCATCCATGCCAGAGAGTGGGGTATACTCTGCGTAGAGGGTAATTCTGAAGATATGTCGCAAATGTATTGCAAATGACAAGTGGTTCGGCGGACAGGCTCTTTGCTATCTCTTGGAATACGATAATCTAGCAATAATCTGCAGTTGTGTCAGCGTTGGAAATGAGTGCGCCAATAATAATAATGACAGGCATGATCAACTAAAATACTAACCAGCTGAGGAGAGTGTTCTGGTGAATGCTTTGGACGCCTTTGATTGACTGGTTGCTTCGGAGAGCGGCCAGTCCGATCGGTGCATGGTTCATGACATCCAGTGTTACACTGGCGTAGTTACCTGAAGTGGAATCCAGAGCCATCAGACCTTCCTGTAAAACGGGAGCAATGATAATATGGACTGACTCCGATGGTGAAAAGCCAAGCTGCTTTCTTGATGAGCTGTATCGGAGGCTAGGCAGTAGTTTCCTAATTTAGGTAGCAGTTAGCCCATTTTGACAAGAGGGGCAGCTGGCTATCCACTAGATGCAGCAAAAAAAGACTGCATCTGGGATCACCCGCGTTGGAGATCAAGCTGGTGGTGGTCAAATGCAAAAAACGGTCGAGCTATAGAGGATGGCTGGGGGATGTTGTGGCGCCCCTGCAGAGCGGACGCAGGAACGCTTCGGCTGCTGCAGGTCGACTTCCCGGCCGTGGCAGTCTTAGATTTCCTCCCGATAAAATCCCCCGCCAACCGATACTATACGGATGACATGCAGCAGACTGGATCGTTTATTGATTGATCTGAGTTCGGCTGCCCTCGAGAGAGACGCTACAAGGAGAAACTGCCAATTAAGTCCGACGACTTGGGGCAGACAGGGTTCTTCCAAACGGGCCAACCTGACCATCTCGTGGCAAGGCATGGAGCCAAAAGGAAGTCATCCATGCTGAACTCTCCGAAGCCTATCTGTTCGTCAAACTGAACTGGTCGAGGAATGGCATCATGCGAAGACGATTCGCCCGGAGAGAGCGGTTCTGAGGATCCCAATAATCCAGAACGGAACGCCAGCATCTCTTTCCCGTTTCCACCCCTGCCGACTAGTTATCTTACTAACGAAAGGGCCATGGACAGGACAAGCCAATAAGGCATCCATGGCTACCTATTCCAGAACCGATTGTCATGGCGTTCCAACGCCACCGCGCGATCCCATGCTTCAGGCGATCCGTTCAGTGACAACCCCACCGACAAGGCATCGAAAGGACCTTGGCCGCGCCCTCGAACCGATCGCGAACCTCTCATCCTATCGATACCCCGCTCCTTTTATCGCAACTCGACCGGATGAACATCCGTCGTAGGGGAACTAGAGAACGCTCTGACCATAAGAGAGGCGGGGATGGAGCTCAAGGTTAGAGACAGTCCGGCGTCTTACCGCCGTCCCGCGCTCCGTCTGCTGCAAGGGCCTCGTGTGGTGCAGCCGTTACAGCTGCCAATGCATGAGGGAAAATAAACTCACATTGCATTCCCGTTCTTCCGCAGGTTAACGATGCGTGCACGGGCAGGATCTACGGTACATTTCTAGCTGGAAACTATGCATAGGTTCGATCAGGTGAACTTCGAAGGCGACCTTGGAGGCAGGTGGACAGCAAGGCCAATATTATTATGTGCCACCGTTGTCAGGCAGCGATTCTCGTCCGGACTGTTTCACCTTCCCAAGAGGGCAATGGGAGCGATTGAACGCCTCGAGATTAGCCGCCAGACAGAGCGGTCCCAGCCACGGCGATCTGTGACAAGTCCAACAGCCAACAATCGCGATTGTCACCGCACAAGGCAATTAACCGGCTGACCTTGACGTCGAAATCAGCCGTTGTAGACGTCTACCGTGACATTTTGTCGCAGACGCCGCAAAAAAAAATTCTGATAGCGACCATGTCACGGGAAATCATTAAGTAGAGCGCAATACCACGCGTGGGGTGACTTGGAATGCTGAGCGATTTCCTTGTTGCGTTCCGTTTACCCCGCCGCCTTCCGAACGAGCATCGTCTAGACCTGGAATCGTTGCAGTACTAACAACTACAGGGTCGAGCATTGATTTATTGGCACAGAAAAAGACCGATTTCTCCTCACGAATGACTACTTCGTTAAAAGTTTGGGGGGTTCTCTCCGATTTCCGCACCGCTTTGGAGAGATCTCTCTGAACAATACAGATCCTAGTAGCAACAACTCAGTGTTAGAAAGATCTATGCGTGTCCGCGCGACACGATCGTGTACGACTGTACAACAAGTGAGCCGCGCCTGGGTTCCCCAGCCATCTCCAGACATGGACGGGCAGTCTCGCGACTCTGAAGCCGAATCGACTCGGCTAATAATCCATGCTCCGGCTGGAATCTGGAGAGGGGGGCCCATCCAGGATCGATTACGTCGATCGCAGCATCCTGGCGAGAAGCAGGGCGGTGATTGGAAGCGACGAGATTCCGCGATACCGATCGCACCATCATCCGGCTTGATTGACTGGCTGCGAGCACGACCACGTATCTGGCACACCCACCGAGCCGTCTTATCCCAAGTCACGCTCACGGCCAGCTGGCCGCCTAACGTCTACCAAGTAGTCTGGCGGGCTGTAACTCCGGAGCATATTCGACTGAGTGAATTCCAATTTCCGACCGTCATGGCGAGGAATCCTCGTGTGGGCGGTTGCAACTTGCAAGCTGCGATTTGGTTGGGCTGGCGAAGCGGTCAGCCGGCCGATTTGTTTTGTTGTCACTGTCGCCCCCTTGCGCGGCGCGATGATCTAGGGCCAAGGCTTCAGCCATCTCAGCTGCAACAACCCGTAGTCGCATATGCGAGTGAGTGCTGACAGGATCCGTTCCCGCCACGAGTCCGTCCTATCCCTGCCAGAATGGGGGCCATTATTGTCGGTACGGAGGACGGAGTACATCCCGCCGACCGCCAGCAGCGCCGCAAATCTTTTTGCTTGCTGCAAAATGACCACTACGGTGCCCTACGAGGTGCTCTGTAGCGGTGGAGTCGACTATTGACGTTGCTTTCCATATTTTGTGGCCTGAGGTTTGTTACACGAAGCTCGTAATCGGAGAGTATGGAGATTCGTCTCAAGTTTCATCTGACCTAGCGCACGGGATCAAGATCTTCAATGCAGGAAGACTGAATCCATCTGACCGCCGGTATCGAGTCGATCAGACTGTTACGAGAAGACTGGTGTCTTTGAACGCATTCTTAACCGTAGAGCCATCGATTCTCAAAAATAGATACTATACTATAGGCAGTCCGTACGGAGTAATTACTATTCTGTACTAATGAATTACATACATACAGACATAGCTAGTTCGATCATGTCAATAAATAAAATAGCATATGGAATACATACATAACACTAGAATAGTGATTGAACTGATGGAGCACATTTCGAGTAATGCCTAGCTAGCTATAGTGTACTCTGTACCTACCCTACAGAATAATGAATGAATGAATAACATGACATAGTTACTTCTATCCTGAGGTACGGAGTAACTAGATAGAATAGATCACATAATACATCCATCCAGCCATTACCCTAGTTGGTATATTACTGCTGATGGCAGATGTACTTACTCCGTACTGTAAGTATGTATGTAGATATCCGCCAGCCACGGACTTTTCTAGACGGCCTACATCTGCATGTCGCTTGTTTTGTGGTCATTATTCTTATTGATTTTTTTTTGATTGTTTGTTCCTCTTGATCCTTCCTCTTTCTTCCTTTCTTCCTTAATATTCCCCCTTGACTGATTGACGACCGCTACCCGTTGAGACAGAGAGGGGGGGAGGGTTGAATAGAATGAGATACATCACACCGGACGGACGTCATCATCGTCATCGATTTCAATCAAGGGGTAGGATATTCAGGTCAATTAATTCTTCACAGGGTGGGCCAGGCCCACCCCCCCCCCCCCCCTTTTCTTCGTTTTCTGTAACTTTTTTTTCTATGTTTGTGCCGTCCTATTTAGTTAGATTGATAAGATTGATTTCGAAAAAAAAAAAGAAAAAAAAAGAAATCCATCCCTTTCTTCAGGAGGAGTAAATGGACTAACTAATTTTGTTTTTTTTTGCTCTATTGCTCTACTTATTCTAGAAATAACATCCAGCCCCCCTGTTTTCCTAAATATATACATGTCTGAAAAGGAAAAAAAATAATAAACAATTGCAGCAGTTCCGGTAGTTGTGACAATTGTCCTGTTGATGTGGAGCTATATAGTAGCCGTCATAGATGATCAATATACTATATCGTGTATGTACTGCAATTATTTGAGTCTCGTACGCACGTCTAACCTTTCTACCTAGGTACAGTAACTAGGAAACTTGATAATATCGTCGTCGTCATTATTTCTAGACTCAAAGCCAGGACAAATCCACTCCAATCGAATATTAATTTGTTGATAATAGAAGACAGACTATCAACAGCATCTATCCACCGACTAACTTCCCTATTTGGCTGTGACAAGGCTTAAGAAAAACTATCTATCTACCTACGTGGATACCTAGTTTAGGCAGTGGCTGGCCTAAGGACGGAGTCGACGGACGGACGGGTCAGAACGAATCTAGGGATAAAAAAACGATATGCCTTTTTTATCCCTTTCTACGGACGGAGCACGGCTCGCCATCCCGTCCGCGAGCGAGGAGGAACTTGAAGAAGAACGACCGCGATCCCGTAACTTTACTCAACTGTCTGACTCTGACCGCCTGTCGACCTTCTACTGTCTGCATCTGCATGTCTGTCTGCCTGTCTATCTGCGACGCTGACCGCTTCTTCTGTTTCATATGATCCTTCTATTCCATTCTTTCTGTTCGACTGTCCCAGTCGTCGTTTGAGGCCTTGGAGCGGCTCGCATGCATGCATGCATGTATGTAGATCCACCACCATCCCATCCGAGGAATGGAAAGGCTGGCTGAGTCTGAGTCGGAGTCTGATTGGAGCCACCCTTTCCATCTGGAAGGGATTTACGGTTTACCTATCCGGGTACGACCCTACGAGGTAGGTAGATGCCTAGGTAGGTATGTATGCTTGACTGATTGGTTGGTGCATGATCGACCATGATCGACGACTGAGACACGATGACAGAAGGGAGAAGAATGGGATGGAATAGAACGGAACAGAACAAGCAAAGAGTTTCTTTCTGAGAGACTAAGACTGAGGCTGAAGCTGAGACAGAGGCTGAGAGAGGGATGGAATCCAAGAGACTGACGGGCATGCTCGCCGCGGCCTACGAGTATTCCGTTCAGTAGAGCAGGTTGCTCAAGTAGTGAGGTCCTGACTTGATCTGACCTGATAGACAGTGATTCTGATTTCCTTCGATTAAGGAACGCAGTACAATGCAATATAATGAGGGATATTCTCAGATTTTCCTTTCCAGCGTTTCTCTCTTGCTTGCTTGGAAAAGGATCTTCTTATCTGATATGTAGTAGTAATAGCAGTAGTAGCGTAGTTCAGCATTTAAAATATATTGATATAATTTGTGTATATTGGATTCATTCATCATGAAATTTTTGTCCATGTCGATGTTATTGATTTATCTACCTACCTATATACCTATTTTCAGAAAAAAAATCCAGTGATAAAAAAATAAAATAACATGAAACGAAATTAGCACTGTCAGTGTCTTAGGAAAGAGCGTTGAGATGCTATGTATGTAGGTATGGTCGTTAGAAAGCAATAAGAGGAAAAAAAAAAAGGCAACCTGCGATAATTTCCAGACATATGGTAGGTAGGACAGTACCTGGATTAGAGGAATATCCATCCATTTTCATTCATTATCACCATAAGAATGAAAATAATGGGAATGACTGAATCAAAATAATGGAATGGACATAAAGGACATTGTATAAATATATTTGATCAATGACTGACATACATCCACCCATGCATGTATGTTTATGTGCATGTCATTAATACATTATTAAGGTGAAGGTATGACAGACATATGTACCTAGGTATATGCATACGTATGTGTGTGCATGTACATGTGCATTAAGTGTCTAGTATCTATTTCTGGACAGGTGTCAATAGATATATATACATATATACCGTGTGTTGTATACTAATTGCAATGATATTAATGTAGGTCTAGGAAAGGAGATTTCTTTTTTTTTTAAAAAAAAGTGTTGGAAATTTAGTGCCACTGAGAATGTTTTTTTTTCTTTTTTTTTTTTAAAAAAAATATATGGATTTCTATCTCTACGTTTGTATAATAATGTTAGGATGGTAGGTTGGTTTCTTGGTCTGACGGGTATGGATTTATATATATATTTTTTGAGATAGTAGCTGATCGCTGATATTAACATTGTTACTCCCAACAAGAATGGTGAGACCAAGAAGACAATCTACTGAAGAAAAATATAACATTTTGTTTTCCTCGCCTGCCTTTCTCAACTGCACACATGAATGGATTTATTTATCTATCCCCTCCTATGGGCAGCATCCACAAACATAACAAAACAAAATGGTCAACTTCTACCCTATCATCTAGTACCTTTTATTATCGTCTTGTTTTGTTTATTTTTTTTCTTTTTTTTCTTTTTTTTTTTTTGGCTCGTGTCTTGGTTTGTGATGCATGCTGTTGTGGCTGACCAATACCAAAGTATTCATTTCCCTGTGTATCTATCTATCCTACTCCCTACCCTGAACGATAACTAAAGAAAGACCGGTTTGTCTCGTCGCCCAAAAACAGAATAAAAGCCCCCCCCCGGATGCGTCGCGTCGTGTCCACTCCTTCTATTTTTTTTCTCCCTTCTCTATTTGTCGTCTCATCTTCTATCGTTACCAGAACGAGAAAATACCTGCTGCCAAATCTCCAGCCATTCCCGCTGTCGATGTGACAGATTCTTCTGTGGATTGCGGATCACGTCCGACAGGATGTCGCGGATGCGTGTGCAGAACGTCTTGAACGCGAGCATCTGTTTCCAGTCTCGAACCGCGAAACGAATCCGGTTGTTGTCTATGGAGATGATGCCAGAGTACATCTGACGAGAGTTGATTATTAGCATGATAATTGTAAGCAGGGGAAAAAAAAAGGCCGGCTTACCTTAAAGTCAGGATCTCCACACAACAACGCAACGGCAATATCTTCCACGGCACTCGTCTCGTGCGCATTGTAGAATTTACTCCGCGCCTGCATGATGTGATAGAACGATAGCCACTTGGGAGGTGACTCCGACTGCTTGTTGACGGACGTCGGATGGAGGGTCACGGTCTGGTTGTTTGCGACGTTTCGCCACCCTTTGCCTTCGCGGATTAGCAGCTTGGGGTAAAAGCTCCATGTGATCACCGAATTGACGATGAGATCGTTGCCGCTGTTCAGATCGACTCGCTCGGGAACAGTGAAGAATTGACGTTGACGGCCAGTGACGCGGGCTCTGAATCATTCAAACGTGGTTAGTTTCTAATTTTTTTTTAAAGAGACAGAGAGCAGACGTACCTCCTGAGCGAAGCTTGCTCTTCAGCATCCAGCTTCAACAACCCCGCATCAACAATGCTGACCAACAGCTGCGTTTTGATGTCTTCAATATTCAGCAGAGTTTGCGGACTGAGGAAGTTCTTCCGGCAGAACGAATACTCGTTTGCGCCGGGAGTGTTCTTGATCTTCCTCCACGCCGTATACGCATTGTAGACCGTCAGCAAATCCGAGTCTCCTGCCCAGGTGTTAGCTAAGTTATGCACTGAATCTGGGCGATGTAGAGAAACCTTTCTTGAATGACAGCCTGGCCAAGTCTCTCTGCGTGTTCGATCCCATGGTATTCACGAACGGAGACTTGGAAGACAGAATGGCCGCGAT